GTATAGGGAAGAGAGGAGGGCACGCTCGGTCAGAATAAGCCGGGGGGGCACGGGACGGGGAGAAAGCAGGAGGCACGGTCGGTCGGAATGAGGAAACGGGGGGCGAGGGAGGGGAGGAAATGGCGAAGGGAGGGGGGCGGAAGACAAAGATAGGAGGGTGGCACAGTCGGTCGGAATAACCCAAGGGAGGGGCACTGGGAGGGGGGGCGGCGACGGGGTGGGAAAAGGACAAGGGGGGCGGCGGAAGATAGGGAAAGAAAGAAAAAAAAGAGAGGAAGAGGGCACGGTCGGTCGGAATAAGCCAAAAAAGGGTACGGAACGGGGGGAGGGGATGGGGGCACGGCCACTCGGAATGAGAAACAAGGGCGCGAGGGGGCAGGGAAAAAATATGGGGGGCGGGCGGAGGACAGCGAGGGGAGGGGGGCGCGGTCGGTCGAATAAGCCAGGGGGGGGCACGGGACAGGAAAGGGCAGGAGGCACGGTCGGCCGGAATAAAGAAAAGACGGCGAGGGGGGAGGGGGAAGAGAAGGGAGACGGGCGGAGGGCAGGGGGAAAAGGGGGCACGGTCGGTCGGAATAAGCCAGGGAGAACCTGGTCCTGGAGTCTCGGAGTGCCTCTGGACCTGGATGTAATGGGCGTCGTCGCGGCCGACCCCGACCCTCGGGACCCCCGGGGGGCTGTGCCTGCGGTGCCTCTGGGACCGCGCGCGTTCACCGATTAATCGAAGGTCATCGCGCGCCTGTGCGCAGTCGTCGGGCGACGGGTTCGCTCGAACGATTCCAATAGGATGGGCGTCGGAGGGCGGGGTGGCGAGGAGGGTCTCCGCTGCCTTGCTGTCCCGTAGCCACATACTGTCATGGGCGTTTCTGCCCCCACTCCTCCTTCGACCCCCGGTAAAGAGACGGCGGCCAAGACGGGGCGCGCAGCAAGCAAAGCTAGGTCTGAACGTTTGCGTGCACCCGTGCGCGCGTCAGCTCGCAATCGTGCCAGTTCTGCGCCCCTCGCAATCTCCCGACGGGCTCAGGCTTCTCTGAGTTCCTGTTCAACAGAATGCGTCCACCAATCTTTCTTCCACCGCTGGAATGTCTTCAGGTTCCTGGAGACTTCCCGAAACTCGGCTGAATCAAAATGCGCACCCTGCTCGCGCAAACGTGCGCGCTGACGAAGTAGTGTGAGTCGCTCCACGCGTGCATCCTGAATCCACTAAGGTGTACTCTTACGTTTGGGTCAACACTTCATAGCTGTGGTGCGTCCGATGCGACTGACAACCGCCGCGTGCTTCGCAGGGTCATCACCCTCGATGATGGCGCCAAGATTCGGGGCTGATAGCTGTCGCGCGCCGTGCAGGTCCACAAAAAACTGGCGTCGCGCGCGCCCAATCAGCAGACCCGCTGAAACAAAGCCCCAGCCCCAGACGCAATCGCCCCTTTCCTGAGGTGGTGTGTGTGTGTGTGTGTGTGTGTGTGTGTGTGTGGGGGGGGGGGGGCGGTGGCAGGGGCATCCATGGCCATGGGATTGTGATCAAGCGCGTGTCGAACGACGTTTACTTGTCTATGCTTACGCCAATACATACGCCTGCTACGGCTATTGCACATCAAACAAAGACTGCAGTCTGATAAAATGGCGCATGCGCGAACGTGTACCACTGTTGCCGAAAAAAGGAGCAGCCGAGGTCGCATAATCTATTCGCGGCTGCCAGGGCATTCTCTAGAAGACGGCGGCGAACTAGTTTTCCGATGTCATTTTCGGCGGCAGCCTGAACGAGCCAGACGCCGGCATCGTTGGTGGCGTTCCTGTCCTGGCGGCCGAGGTTGAGATTCCAATCCCCGAAGCAGAGGGGTGCGACTCGGGCTGCCATGCTGGCGATCTCCTGGAGAACCCAGTCGAGGAGGCGGCGGTAGGCGACGTGCAACAGTCGAACTAGCGCCGCCGCGGACGGGCGAGGCGAAAAGTATGTTACGATTAGCCTGGAGCCGGAAACGCATTGAAAAACGTCCACCGGTCCCCCTCGGATCATGAGCTCTGGCGGGGGGGTGTTGATCCTGGCGATACATTTGGCCCGAAAGCGGCTTGTCGATCAACCGATAGAGCATCCCGCGGAGGCATTTGTCAGACTCCCCCGAGACCGCCCAAACCGCATGAGCAGATGTCTGTGGGTCGTCTCGCACGCGTGGAGGGCCCCTGGCTTGCGCCGAAATTGCGCGCCTGGAAGGAGGACTACATGCGCGTGTTTGAGCGCGTCCGAACGTCGCCCCCCCGATCCCGCACAACTTGAAGGAGTTCCATCCCGCGATGTTCAACTTCGCGGCCATGGCGCGCGCTATTAATGCACGGTGTAGGCGCGCATTTAGGAGAGGGAGGGACGCGGCCGCTTGCCCCCTGCCCTCGGCCGCAGCCCCGCCGCGAGCGCCGCCGCGCTCGGCGCCGCGGGCTCCGCGATTCCCCTCCCGCGGCGGCGCGGGGGGGCGCGCCGGGGGGGGCGAGGGGGGGCCGCCTGCGCCGTCGCTGCTTGAGCGCAGCGGCGGCTTGCGAAACGGAGCAGGGCAAGGTCTGGCGATTGGGCGCTCCAGCGTTTCTGGATCATGCCCCAGCCAACCTCGACGCGGGGGTTTGACAACCACATTGCTAGTAGCATGGCATGAGCGGGATCATAAACGCCGGACGGCGTGAAGGCCCCGTCCTGAAGCCAGTACTGTCGCCTGACTATTGCGTAGAGCTCCGCGACAGTGAAATTGCCGAGCCGCGCGCTCTCTGCAACGCCTGGCGGGGAGTTTCCACCGCCAATATCGGGGGTGGCGGGGACAGGAAGGGCCCGCCGTGTTGCCCAAGTCGATCAGTAGGGACCACACCTCTACGTCTCACGTGTTTGGGAAGTTTTCTTCGGGGTCGTTCCCGCCGTTGTGGGGAGCTGCGGCGGGGTAGTCGCTTGGCGCGCGGCTGCAGTAGCTTGAATGCCAAGGGTCCCATCTGAAGGACAGCCTGTCTGGGCCCTGCGCGGCAAACCATGAAGGAAGCAGCTCCCACTGGCACTCGCTGCGCGAATTTGCATCGCAATTCCGCCGCTCTTGGCAGAGGACTGGTTCGCGGAAAGTGAAGTGCTCCAGCCATCTGCATACAACTCCAGGCTCAGATCTCCGATGCTGCCTGGATCGGCCCGAGACACCGACGTAGCCAAAAGAGAAGTGCATCCATGCGTAAAGCACGTCCGACTTTGCGATTGGCGCTGCCCGCAAGGGGAAACCGGCGAGCTTCTGTAGTTGGCACGACTCGTGCAGTACTTGCCGAACATGATGATATCCACGTGAGCAGCGCGCTCGCGAGGTATGCCACAATGCCTCGAATTGGTCACTCGCAAGGCAAGACCCGACAAGTTTTGCCATCCGGCACCGCGGGTTCGCCTTGATCAAAAAAAAAAAAAGGTAACACGTAGCAGCGCAACGCAGCATCTCAAGGCGCGCATTCCTCCGTCGCCACTTCGCCGTCGGCGGAAGGAGCCATGATACAATGGCCCCCTGTAGTGCGCGAAACTGTCGGAGCAGGGCGGCATCCCCGTTCCTATTCATAAATTGCTAAGCTGTCGTCGTGAACATGCCTTCAAGAATCGCATTCGAGTGGGAGGTGTGTAAATACGTAAGTCTCACAGGAATACTAAAGCCTAATTACCAGGCTGCGCACCAGGTCGCACAATGGCGCGCGGCCTCGGGACCTGAATATCCGTCGGGAATCGCTGGGGGGGCGCTCCCCGCTGCGCGCGCTCCCCTGCAGCGGCATGCGAGCGAACCGTTGCAGAAGATAGCCGGGCAAAACGCTTGGACGTCCAGAATGGGAACAGCAATCACGAACAACGCAACACTTGAATCAGAGCGCGTCTTTCCTCGACTCGCCGATGCTATCGTGATCAGTCTCTCTCAGACAAGGCCTGCAAGCGATGCTCTGGGGGGTTCGGTCAGGCTGGAACTTCAGGCATTTAAAAACCTGTTGCTGCGATCGCGGTTCCACGAACAAAAGCCGACCGAACAAATCCGTTTGGGCACAGAAGACGACGGAGGAGAGAGAGAGAGAGAGCGAAGAGAAATAATGGGAGCTGTCAGTGGAGGCCCCCAAGAGGCCCCCAAGAGACTCCCAGGAGGCCCCAAAACTGCTTCCAGAAGCTCCCGAGAGCGTTCCGAAGAGACCGCCTGAAGCATCCTTGAGGACTCTAACCCACGTCAGCGTCGTTGTCGTGCCGCCGTCGTCCCCCTTCAGGGTCTGCGGCACCGGCCGTAAGGCCTTCGCAATATAGTTTCTAGGAGCCAGATTTTTACCCAGATCTTCTGCGCCTCGTGTGTCTGAGGTAGGGAGCCCGAAACTCCAAGATGCAGTGGATATGGATATACAGCATGTTGCCCGTAGGGGGAGGGAGGCGCGAGGGGGGCGGCCTTGTAAGAAGGTGGGGGGAACTCTTGCAGGACAAGGCCTCGAGGAAGGAAGACCGAGGACACGCAAACCTGAACTGCTTCAATCGTGGCGTGTTTCCTCGAGTCCGGCCTCGGCGGCCCACTATGAGACTCCAGGACAATCAAAAACGGATCCGGGACGGAACACGCACCCAAAGGGAAGCGGGGGGGGCGCGAGGGGGGCGGCTTTGACGATAACCGCGCTTCGCGCGTTGCGGTCGTCAGGCGCAACGTTGGGGGGGAGAATGAGTTCAAGGGGAATGCACAGACCCCGAATCCCCCATTGATTGCCGAAGGGGGCTTGGATGCCCCGCCAACCCCGCCCATGACCTTTCGGATTAGCTATCGAGCACCTATCGCCGCTCTATCGACGATGTATCGCCAATGCCAGGTCGATGTTGACCCCCTGAGCAAGACCCCCCCTGTCGTTGCCCCTCAGGTCTGGGCCAGCGCGTCTGCCTATTTCCGGGAGGGGGGGGGGCGCGAGGGTGCGAGGGCACGAAGAGAATCGCGCGTCGCGCATCGCGGGCCGCAGTGCACAAGATTGGGTGACCTAGATAAGCTTCACTTCTCGGAGCTCCAGGGTGTAGTTAAAAGAAGAGAGCGGCGGAGCTGATGCTTCGGACCAGTGGCCCCTGGAGGTCGGCGGAAGCCTCTGGCTTGGCGCTTGGACTCCCCGTACTTGCTCCGGAACTCCCTCTTCCTGGCCCGTGGTATGCGCCGCCAGCACGGGTGACATCTCTTGGGGAACGCCAGGTGCACACCCTCAACGCGCATTCTGTCCAGGCCAACCCTGAGCTCCTTCCCGACCAGGCAATCCTGAGCCAGTTCCGAGGGCTCCCAAGGTCTTCAGGGGAGACGTCAGGAGATCTCATCAGCCTCAAGGAAGGCCCCATGTCCCTCTGGCGGGCTTCCTGGGTGGGGCTCCAGGAAGCTTCCTTGGAGCCTCCAGGATCCTGGCAGGGATGTCTGGGCCTGTGCAGGGGGGGGGGGGGGATTTTCCTACAGGAGCGCGTCCAGGAGAGGCCCCCGCGGTGTGCCCTCCAGGCGCTCTCGGCGGGCGCCATTCCTCCTCCTGGCGGACCCTTTGCTCACTGACTAACATGTGGCTGGATTGGGAGAGGCAGCAGAAGCGATCGCGGGAAGAGAGGGCGTCCTCAAAATCCACGCAATTAATCTTCAGCACCCTCACGTTCGCCTGCGGGAGGGCTCTGCGGGAGGGGACGGGGGGGGGAGGCCAAGGGAGAACAAGCAAGGCTGGTCCTCAGGCATCCGGCGGCTCGAGGTGTTCGACGCACGGGGTCCTGAACCTCTCGACCTCCTTCCCCAGGACGCGCTTCTCAGTCGTTCGTTGATAACCCCTGAGGCCCGAAACCAGCACCCGGGGACCCAGGCTTGCGAAAGGCCTGCCGTCTCGCTTGAGTATGCTTCTCGAACCGCTGAGTGTCTGAGCCCCCCCCCCCGTCCCGCGCGGGAGCAGCATGGTGGGGCGCCTTCATCCCGTCGGCGTCCACGACGGGCTCCTGAGCGCCAGTGCGCGGCTTCTGGCGAGGCCGCGGGGAGGCCAGACCCGAGCGCGCAGGTACGAGCGTTGGTGGGGAACCCCAGTGGGCCAGCACCAAAGGTCACTCCGGCGAAGGGCCACTCTCATCCAATCCGAGACCGCAGAGCTCCGACCCCTTCCCCATGGGGGCAGCTTTGCGCCCCATGGCCCCCAAGCCCGACAGCGGACCCCCCACTCCAACCTCAGATCGACCACGAGCCCCGCCCGGCCAGGCCCTGCCTTGCACCCGCGCCCGTGCCTCAACACGCCGCCGCGCTCCCGCAGCGAGACAGACAAACAAGCGCGCACACTTGCGCGTGCGCCTGAAAGCCCGGCAGCGCTGTCCCCGTCTGCCTCTGTGCGGGTCTAGCCGGTGAGCGGCAGCGCGTGCGCTTGCTTGCCATACTGCGCGTGAAGTGCTGTACGCTCTGAACGAGGCTCCCTCTTTCGTCCCCCTGTGCGGAAGCTGTCCTTTTCCACGAGCACCCGTGCGCAATTACGTTGCTCTGCCCGTCCTGGCTGTTACTATTTGACGTTTCGTGCATCATCATGTCGCCGCTAACAAACGTGCCTACTTGCTTCCCCAAAGATGTCCGCGGCTGCTTACAGCGGTTCGCGACGAGCGCCCAGGTGGGGCGGAATCCCGAGTGCTGAGGACTGTATTGATGTTTTCCTACGTGGCGATCGCAAGCCCCCAATGTTTTAGGTGGATGTGTGAAGCCTGCAGTATAGAGAGTGGCATGACCCCGGCCAATATTTCTGTACCTGGGAGACTTTGAGCCGTGAGAACCGGACGCCCCTGTCTGCTGGCCTTGGAAATGGCCCACTTCCTCCTCCACTGCCCTCCCCGATCTACCCTTCCCCAATTGGACATCCTCCGACTGAAAATGAAAGTGCTGGTCGAATTCTCCTTGAACCTCCAGCAACCGTTTCGTCCGCACCCGAATCCCCTGTTTTCCGAGATGCGCGGGGGGGGGGGGGGGGCAGACGGGGCCCAGTCAACTGGCCGAGAGGGAGCGAGGTGGGGCGAGGAGGAAGCAAGGATGGACGGGGGGGAGGAGGATGAGCGCTGTGGGGGCAACTTCGAAAAAGAGGAGGGGTGAACGGGGGAAGGGGAAGACGAGGGAGGAGGGAGAGAATGCATCCCAGGGTTCCCAGAGGCCCGAAGACGTTAGCAAAAACACCATCAACATCGATGTTCGATCCTCCTCCTGGTTTCTTTCCTCGTTATCTTCCTCCTGCCAATATTATTTTCTTGCTTCCCCTCATGCCTCCTGCCTCCTGCATCCTCCTCCTTGCCTCCACACTTGCACAATTTGAATACTGCTCTCACATTTCCCCTGGCCCCTGGAAGATATTCGGCCGTCTCCGCGTGGTGTTTTAGATATCTGGTGTTTTACCATCCGATTGTTTTCGGTGCCCCAAGATGGTGTTCCTGTTGCACCGTGGGCCTCATTTTCGGATCAGCGCTTCGTCCCAGTCGTTCAGACTGGCGCTCTCTCCCCAGCGTGTGTCAATCTTCTGGATCCGAATCCTTTTTCATCGTTCTCGCCCCCTCCATTTCTCCTCCTCCGCTTTCCCTCAGGTCTTTGTGTTCCTCCCACTTCTTCCATTCCAACTCGTTATTGCTGCTGCTGTTCGTGCTCGCCCCCTCCTCACACATCTTTTCCTCCTGCTCACCCGCCACCTCCTCCTCGTTCCTCCTTCTCCTACGCACACTTACGCAAGGCGAAACATGTTCCTCTTCAGGCGCCAGTGGCGACACCCGGTTGGCGAGAGAACATCGGTGCCGCCAGACGAACAACGTCTGGGCAAGATGTTTACACCAGCCGGGGTAAGGAGAGATGTAATCATGTTGGGTGCGAACCGCGTGCGGGGAGGGTTGACGGGGCCCGTGAAACAACACGCGACCTGCCTGTGGCAATTCGCAGCCACACCACCTTCCTGGTAGAATGTTGACAACGGCGGGCTTAGATGCCGCAAATCCGATTACCGTCCGCCCCCTGCTTTAACCCAAAGAAATGAACTTACAACAAAGTATGCATCGGAGACGTGTGACAAAAACAGGACGGCAATCATGTCCACAACATCCAAAATCGGAGCCGCGCGGAGGGAAATTCAATCCACGCCAGGACCTCGGGGGCGTCGGGACTTCGGCGTGGGAGGTGGCGCAGCGGGCGCCCCACGCGCGCCCCCCGCGCTGCCTGGGCTGGCGCAATTGACCAGCTTCGCGGCCATGTCAAACAGCAGCGGGGGCGAAGGCGAGCCGGCTGCCCGGGCGAGGCAGAGCGCTCGCCCGAGAGGCGTGGCGCCCCAAATCGCGCGCGCCATTATCCGCCGAGCCACATCGTCGCGGTACCGGGCGATCCTGCGTCCCGTCCAACCGCTCCTCGCCCAGCCGCCCCCCCTGGATGGAGGTGTAATCTGAATCTGCGCTTGGTGCCCATGATGCTGCCCCCCCCGCCAGCCCTAGAAAGTGGCGACAGCTCGCACTTCGCACCCCCCAGGGATGAAGGTCCACTCAAAACCTGCGCCTTTCACCCACTATGCTGGCCCCCCTATCAGCCCTCGAAAATGGCGATCGTTTCGCAGCTCGCAGCCCACCACGGATGGACAGGTCCACTTTGAATCTGCGCCTGGCACCCACTATGCTGGCCCCCCTTCGGCCCTCGAAAGTGGCAATGGTTTCGTAGCTCGCAGCCCCCCCAAAGATGGAGATGTCTAGCCCCCCCCCCAGCAGCCCTCGAACGTGGCGTCAATTCCGCAATTCGCAGCCCCACAGGGCTAGCGATGTGTACTTTTCAAACACACTTTTACAGCTGCCCAAAATACGAGGTGTTGGCCGCCTCTTCTCTGCATGTTGTTTTCATGGCTGCAATTTCGGCTCGAAGGGGTTGGGCGGCGGCCCCGGGGGTCGCGCTTTCGAGCCCTGGGCGGCAACGCAGCCCTGCCACGTCGGCAGGACGGTGTGATTCGGCGGGCCCATCGGGTGGCCCTGGCGCTGGCGGTCGCGGCCAGCGAGTGGCAGTCGCTCGACCCCTCCTCGCGGTGGTCGGGCGACGCGGGCGTGGAGTTCGGGCCCGAGCCGCTGGGGCCTGGCGACAAGGGCGGCGAGCTGCACGCGTGGCGGGGGACCCCCGCGAGCTTCATGGCGCCGTGGGCTCGAAGAGGGTCGTCTACCTGCAGACCGAGCTGAAGGAGGCCAAGGCGGCAAGCACCAAGGCCGAGCCAGCGTCGAGAAGAAGCAGAGCAAACAGACGCAGACGACGAGCTGGAAGTTCCGCTGGTTCACGACCGCCCTGGCGACGGGACGGAGCCAGCAAAGCAACGGTTCGATAGCAGCGGTGAGCTTCATCGGCAGGCGGACCTGGCGCCTCTCCAAAGTGGGCTCAATCGTGGCAGGGCTGTGCCATGTCGCATGATCTGCCATCGAGGCTGTCAAAGACCTGTCGAGCGCGATGGACTTCGTGAGCGAGTCGTGCAAGAACGACGAGCTCGAGAAAAGCATGGGCGCGGCAGGCTTCGCCCTTGGCCTGGTCGACCCGGCGCGGGCTTACCTCGCCCAGGGAGGCCGACGGGGAGACGGACAGCGAGCGAGGCAGCGACGGCGATGACAACGATGGCCGCGTAGGGGGCGAAGTGCGTGACACCGACGTCGAACCAGACAGCAAGCAGCTCTTCTCGGAGCTAGCGCGGGGGCAGTCGGACTTGGCCTCGGCGGTGATCGGCCTGAAGGAGAAGGTGCAAGAGCCTCGCGGACCGCCCCTGCCTCCGCCCGCCCGTCCGCCCCCCTGGCGCCCCCTCCGAACCTTCTCGTCCGAGGGGGAGGGCCGAGTTCCGAGGACATCGACTCCTTCGTGAAGAAGCCGAACGAACACGAGGCCGTGGCCGACCTGGACTCGGGGAAGGCCACGGGATCAACATCGCCCCGTTCGTCGAGCGCTAGGAGCGGGTCGTGGGACAAAATGCAGGCGGAATTTCGGCGACCCCGTGAAGGGGCACATCATGCAGCTGAAGCCCGAGTCGGTGAACCCCAAGGACAGCCTCCTCGCGATGCTGGAGCGGTGCCAGCCAACGGCGGGGGGTCAGGCGGTGGGCGCGCGCGCTCGCGATGCCCTCGCGGTCTCGGCGAAGTTTTATCGCGGTGGACGCGTGGCGCGAGTGGAGACGCAGGAGCGGTTCAGGGCACGGGAGTTGCAGGCACCCAGCGCCGCGGCGGAAGTGAATGTGATGGCGATGCTTTTGGATCGCATGATGAGCGCCAGCGAGCTCGGTGCCCTGATCAACAGCCAGGCCACAAGGCTCACTTGCCCGAGGCCGTGCCACATCTGAAGGCCCACGGGACGGTGCAGCGCCGCGCGGACTGGCAGAGACCGAACGCTCAGAACAACAACAGCTGCAAGAGCAAGGTCGACTGGAACTTGGCGGAGGAGTACTTGAGGCTGGACAGCAACTCCAGTAGTAGCGGCAGTAGTAGAAGTAGAAGTAGAAGTAGAAGTAGAAGTAGTAGTAGTAGTAGTAGTAGTAAAAGTAGTAAAAGTAGTAGTAGTAGTAGTAGTACTAATAGTCGTAGTAGCCGTAGTACTCGTAGTAGTCGTAGTAGTAGTAGAAGTAGTAGTAGTAGTAGTAGTAGTAGTAGTAGTAGTAGTAGTAGCAGTAATAGTAGTAGTAGTACTAGTAGAAGTAGAAGTAGAAGTATAAGTAGAAGTAGTAGTAGTAGTAATAGTAGTAGTAGTAATAGTAATAATAGTAGCAATAGTAGTAGCAGCAGCAGTAGAAGTAGTAAAAGAAAAAGTCGTCGTCGCCGTCATCGTAGTAGTAGTAGTAGTAGTAGTCGTAGTAGTAGTAGTAGTAGTAGTAGTAGTAGTAGTAGTAGTAGTAGTAAAAGTAGTAGTAGTAGTGGTAGTAGTCGTAGTAGTCGTAGTAGTCGTAGTAGTAGTAGTAGTAGGAATAGTCGTAGTAGCAATAGTAATTGTAGTA